TTTGGCTTCGAAATCGCTCTTCACTTGATTAACTATCAACTGAGAGTTGTTGTAGGTGGCGAGGTGTTAAGCTTTTATTTCTACTGTCAATCTTAATCCAGAGAGGAGGACATCGTACTCCGCTTCATTGTTTGAAACAATAAAGTGGAATTTCACTGCATACTTGAGAGTGGTGTCATCTAGGCTGATCAAGATTAGGCCCGCTCCTCCTCCTTCACTAGTCAAGGAGTCATCTACATAAAGATTTTAGAGAAGAATAGAGGAGGGTTTGGAGATCAAAGTGGGTGGCTAGGCACCTGGAGAAATTACCTGGGCACCTGGGGGAGCAACCTGGGCGCTAGAAGGAGCAGCCTGGATGCCAGAGGGAGTAGCCTAGGCACCAGAGGGGCCTGGGCACCTGTCTGGGTGCCAGGAGCAGCCTAGGTCCTTGGAGGTGCAGCTTGGGCGCCTGGGGGTGCAGCCTGGGCACCAGAAGGAGTAGCCTGGGTGCCTGGGGGTGCGGCCTGGGCACCTGGAGATGAAGGTTGGGTGCCTGAACTGACCTAGACACCCAATTTGGACACTTGAGAGTTTCTGCTAGGCTTCTCGGTGTCCCCGATCTGGGTATCCTTGCAATTCCCTTCTTCTGCTGGTGTGAGCACGGCAATGAAATTCGCCAAGGCTTGTGTTTTGATGGCTGCACTTGGTTGATACTGAATATCAAACTCACCAAGTTCCACTGCCCACTTAAAAAGTCTGTCGAATACGTCCGGCTTCCCTAGGACTCTTTTTAGAAGTTGGTCTGTGATGACAACTATGTTGTGACTCTGAAAGTAATATCGTAGTCATCTTGCCGTCGTGACCAGGGTGAGCGCTAGCTTTTCTAGCCCCAAATATCTGACCTCTACTCCTCGGTATGCCCTACTCATGAAATAAATTGGCTTCTACACTTCATTATCACATCTGATGAGCACGGAGCTTACAGCTGATGAGGAAGCAGAAAAGTATAGATGAAGTGTCTTTCCTGGAGTGGCATGTGACAGGAGGGGAGGTGTAGCCAGGTAGGCTTTGTGACTTTGGAAGGCCTCATCTACCTCAAGTTCCCACTCAAAGGCCTTTCGGAGAATCGTGAAGAAGGAGAGACATTTGTCTACAGAGTTAGAGACGAACCTGTTGAGTGTTGTGATCCTCCCATTGAGGCGCTAGAGCTCTTTGATTGAGGAAGGTGACTTCATGTCGAGAATGACCTTAATCTTATTGGGGTTCACTTTAATTCCCCTCTGATTGACCATAAAGTCCAAGAACTTTCCTGACCCAACGCCAAAGGCGCACTTCTCAGGATTGAGCTTCATGTGATAAGACCTCAGGACATTGAAAGTTTCCTAGAGGTGATTAATGTGGTCTACTGCTACAAGACTTTTCACTAGCATGTCATCCACGTATACCTCCATCGTTCGCTCGATCTAAGACTGGAACATCTTGTTCACCAACCGTTGGTAGGTTGCTCCTGCGTTCTTTAGTATAAAGGGCATGACCCTGTAACAGTAGGTCCCATTCGGAGTGAAAAATGATGTCTTCTCCTGGTCTGGAGGGTACATGCTAATCTAGTTATACCTATAGTAAGCATCCAAAAAAGTGAGCAACTCATATCTCGCGGTGGCGTCTATGAGGAGGTCGATCCGTGGCAGCGGGTAGCTGTCTTTCGGGCACGCGCTTGTTGAGTTATGTGAAGTCAACATAGAGGTGTCACTTCCCATTACCTTTAGTGACCATCACCACGTTGGAGAGCCACTCAAGATATGCTACTTCTCTGACGGCCTTGTTATCTATTAGCTTTCCCACCTCCTTGTCCATAGATTGGGGTCTTTCAGTGGAGGCGCCCCTTAACTTCTAACGAATAGGCTTGTGGCGTGGGTCAACATTGAGATGGTGTGTGGTCACTTCTGGATCGATGCCCTCCAAGTCTGCATGTGACCATGCAAAGATGTTCATGTTATGTCTCAAAAAATCTATTAGCGGGTCAATCAGATCTTCAGAAAGGGAAGAGCCAATGTATACTCTTCTGTCTGGGTGCTCTTTATCCAAGACTATAGGGGTGAGCTCCTCGATTGGTTCTCCTCTTTCTACGGTGGATTCATCCCTTGGGTCAAGGACCTCAACTTGCAACGTCTCTTGTAGCTTTCTGGTCTTCATAGAGGAGACATAGCACTCCCTTACTGCTACCTGGTCTCCTCTGACCTCTCCGACTCCATTTGGGGTTGGAAAATGGAGGATGAGATGATAGGTAGAGGGCACAGCTCTTAATGTGTTAAGAGCAGGTCGCTCCAGTATGATGTTGTAGGCTGATGGGCAGTCAATCACCAAGAAATTGATCATGACTGTAAAGCTTCGGGGTGCTGCTCCCGCTGTGACAGGTAGGGTGATGGACCCTAGGGAATACACATTCTCCCCTGAGAACCCATTAAAGGGTGATTTGATAGGCTGCAATCTCTCTTTGCCCAGGTTGAGCTTGTCATAAGCCTCTGCGAATAAGATATTCGCAGAGCTGTCGCTATCCACTAGGATCCTTCGCACCTAAAAATTGGTCATAATCATGGTGAGCACCAGGGGGGTCGTCATTGGGTGCTGGATTCCTTCCAAGTCTTTATCCAAGAAAGATATGACCTCGTTGTTGCCCTGCTTTGGCTCCTTGGATGAGCGCAACTCGTCAAAGTGCCTTGCCTTTCTAGCGTAGGCCTTCATTGCAGAGAGTGATTCTCCACCTTCTGCTAGTCCTTCCGAGATGGTGTGGGTCTCCCCAATAGACTGTTGATCTTCTTAATTGTGAGGTGGTGGTGCTCATTCCCTACTAGCGACATACTAGCGTAAATGACCACGCTGGATGAGTTCCTCAATTTGTCTTTTGAGGTCATAGCAATCATCAGTGTCATGCCTATGGCCGCGGTGGAAGCGGCAATACTTGTTAGAATTTCTACGATTTGGAAGAGACTTCATCTTTCCTAGCCACTTTACCGCGGGATCATCCTAAATCTGGAATAGGATGTACCCGACAGCGGCATTGAGAGGAGTGAAGGCTTGACCGTCTCTCTGAGAAGCAAGGCCTAGCCGGTCTTTGACGGAAACCCTCTCTGTTCTGCTGCGCTTGTTGCTAGTCTCCTTTTTTTCTTCCCTATCTCTATCCTTCCTTTTTTCCCCTGCTCTAGAGGACTCACCTCACCTGACCCTCGTGATGTCCTCAGCATTTATGTATTTTTGGGCCTTTGCTAGTAACTCCGGCATACTCTTTGGTAGGCATTTTCATTACTGAAAAGAGGAAACTTGACGATCGAAGACCTCCTTAAAAAGTTGTCATAGTCACTTTGTCATCGGGCTCATCAACTTGGAGCACCTCCTCTTTAAAACGAGTGAGCTCAGGCTCTCCTCTTGATCCTATTTTATGCTAAGCAGGTGGGTGACAGGCTTCTGGTGGTGACGCCCTCCAATGAAATGTGACACAAACGACATGCTCACCTCTGTAAAAGAGGCAATGGAGGTTGGGGAGAGTTTAGCGAACCATTGTTGTGCGGATCCCTTTAGGGTGGTTGGGAACGCCCTGCACATAATTTTCGTCCGGGACGTTGTGCAGCTGCATCAGGGTTTTGTAGGTATCGAGGTGGTCTAGTGGATCATTTGTTCCATCAAAAGTCTCTATGGATGACATTTTAAACTTTTGAGGGAGGGGGTAGTTTGCCACGTCAAGTTTGAAAGGCGTGTTTGTCCGCCTTACCAGGTAGTCCATTGTCTTGGGTCCCTGTGCCTTCATAGCATTGAAGACGTCGCCCAATTGATTTTGCACTTCCTTGATTTTCTCGTCCTAATGATTGGGGGCTTATCTGGATTGATCATGGAAATGACTCTCATGCTCCATGCTTTGGTTCTCGCCCTCATCCTCTTGGAGACGAGAGTCTTCACCATGGGAAGTAGGAGGAGGAGGAGGTGGAAATCCTTCATGATGGGTTCCCCTATGTGGGGCGCCCAAGGGGACTCCAAAGAGGGCGCCTAGCTGTGGAGCAGTAGGGGTGTGGAGCTCCTTGATGTCCAGGGCGTGAAGCCCCTTAAGGTCCTCCAAATGGCTTTGCACACCACCTATCAAGTGAACAGTAATAAATGCAATATTAAAGTAAGGAGATGAAAAGACACAAGTGATTTATAGTGGTTCGATTAACGTGTGATTTACGTTCACTTTTGAATTGCCTTGGTTGCCTGATACTTTATTAGCTCAAAGGTGTGGGGGAGCAGAGAACACAAGCTTTTGAGGGGGAGGAGAGAGTCGTGCTTAGGTAAAAGTGTGTTCCCCCAAGTGTTGATGGGGTGTGCAATCTATAGTGGCCCCCTAACAGATTGATGTTACTTTACAGCAACTAAATGTTTATTATGGTGGAGCTTACGATTTCTTCTCAACGGGTGAAAAAGTTGAGGTGCTCTCCATGAGATGCAATCAAAGATGAGGTGATGGTGGACTGTTTCCTCTACAATACCGGTAAGACTTTCATGCTCTCCCTCTTGATGACGTAATCGAGCAGAGAGTTTGATTGGTCTTGAACTATGTTAGGCTTAGTAGATCTTTTATGAGGTTGGACTCCTCAATTGGGATTGGACTTTTCAAATAAATTAGACTATTTGAATTTGACCCATCATATTCTTACGGAGTAAATTTTGGATTTGTGCAATAGAAATGTACAAATTAAGTTGCCTCGTGTTAATAGTAATATATTATGAGTTCGAATGTTGTTAACTTCTTAAATCAAATAAATAATAATAAATAAATAAATAGTCGAGGTGAACCGCTGAAAAAGAAAAAAAGTGTTAATAGTAATACAGACATACTTCATCTACTTCTTACATGATATAGGAAACTGGATGGAAAAGTGAAAAACATTTGATTACAGCTGGTAGATCCCAACTAAACTGTTCATGAAGTGGATCTCATATAACCTATAAACACTAGATAGATTGTCTCAGAGAGAGAGAGAGAGAGAGAGATGTCGAGGCGATCAGGGACTTGTTTGAGGTCCTGTTTGGTGGTCTTTGCAGTGGTGTCTTCACTTTGTGTATCTGGGCCTGCGCTGTATTGGAAGTTCAAAAAAGGGTTAAGATTGAGAAACTCTTCACCTTCTTGCAGTCCTTGCATCTGTGATTGCCCTCCTCCTCTTTCCCTTCTGAAGATTGCTCCTGGTACGTCATTGAGCATTTTCTATTCTAAATTTGATCTTCATATTCGAGTGTATATATGTTTCTGTTTCTGGGTTGTTGTCAATTATTGCTCTTGTTTAATTATGTGTTGTTTTGTGTGAAATTGGTGGGTACCCATTTCACTATATTCATGTTTTCGGTATTGTTCTTGCTATTTTGGGGGCTCGTTTTGTGTGCGAGTATTAAAGTAGGTTGTGAGGAACCCAGTTCCGATTACAAACCAAACCAAACCAAGCCTTATATCCCAATCATGCAAGCCAGTTCCGATTATTGGAGTGTAATTAAATGGTATTCATTTCATTTATTGAGGTTTTGATTCTGTTTTTCTTTTGTTTTGTTGATTGTTGGTATCTCTTTTTGCATGGACAGTTTTGTATAATGACAAGGAGAATGATTTAGGATTGGGTGTTCACTCTTCATAGATGTGACTCTATATCCCCACCCCCCCCCCCCCCCCCCAAAAAAAAAAAAAAAAGACAACGCATACACAGAGGAACTAATTCAATATAGGTTTGGAGTTGCATGAACCATAAATTAATTGGAAATGAACTTTAGGGAATTGTATAGTGGCTTCATTTTGATTCATGCTGTGGTCTGACTCTTGTGGGCCTCTGGTTTATGACGAGATTGGTACTTATTCTGATCTCAATCTTTTCAGGTCTCACTGACTATGTATATTCATGTAATGCTGTTTCACATTGAAATGAATCACTGAACCTTGCCTTACTATGTGCATGCATGTGATCCTTTCCCTATCAGAAACTCAAAGAGTTGTTTTTCGATTTAGTGGGTATTTCTGTTTGGTGCCTTGAGTTGAAAAAATGTGTACCTTAGTATTATATCTCACTGCTCTGCCTTTTATGTCCTTGTTTGGATGCTAAGTTTATAAGACTTCACGATTAATAAGCGGATGTATTAATGGAAGAATCTCCTAGCCTACCTTTTAGTAATAGATCTTTGAACCTGGGGTTCGGGGCAACTTAGCTCTAAAAGAAAGGGTGATCCATTTCAATCCTAAAAACCATACCATACCCCTGCCTTTTAGCTCCACAAGAACCAGGCCACTGGGAGATCTCTCCATATGGTAGGGAAGCACTTAGCACACATACAGGGTTCGCCTCACTCTATTCTTGACTGGCGGCAGGAGAGGGAGGACTTGGGGAGCTCAGCTGGGATCAGAGGGGAACGACCTCTTCTGGTAAACAATCAGTTATGGACTCAGATATTTCTTGATCGGGATATAAATACCCGTACAACTATTTATATTTCCCTTGGGAGGAGACCCCTTCTTGGACATATACTTGATCGGGATACCCGGCTGGAAAATGACTCCATTTATGCCTTTTGCCAGGCCTTGGAGTTTGGTGATAAAATGGATAATGCGCTCTATTTCATTGTATATACCCAATCAGATCAAAAGCTTTGTGGGTCTAGGTTGAATAGAGTGTTGTGCCAGGTTTTGCATCTCTTGTATGTCAAGAAAATTGATGGAAATTGTGAAAAGAATACTGCACATATTGGTACTTTAGAATCATCCATAGTAATTTGGGAATCTTAGAAAGTGTGGAGCATAAATGAGGAAGCGAGCAGTATTAGACAGCTTTGCCTTTTTTATTTTTTAGAAGTTTGCAATGTTGTGAAGCTTGCATAGTGGCTGGTTTCATGCTAATAGTATCTGTCGATGAGGTTTTAAAGAGAAAATTAATCAAAAGACTTAAAGTACTCAAGAATTGTGAATGTGCCACCCTGCCACTCTAGTGAATTTGACATGAATTGTGACTTGATAAACTAGAGTTAATATATGTACTTAAATTGTAATTCAATCCCATAGAATATTGTTACTTCAATCAAATACAGATTTAGATACTTATCTGATTAACTTCAAAGTCCTAAAATTCATTGCACTTTTGTCTGCCATCTAGAGCTTTTGCAGTTTGTTAAGAATTTCATGAAGGCATTTTCTTAGTTAACAGGCCTCTCCTCCAAATTGTGTGCCTTCCAGTTCATAACAGTGTAGTGCAACATCATTATTTGTATTCCCCTCTGTATCCAAATTGTGTGCCTTCCTGTTCATAATAGTGTAATGCAACATCGTTATTTGTATTCCCCTCTGTACCACTGTAATTCCCGGTATAAAACAATTCATCTATGGCTCGTCTGTCAGACTTGGTAGGATGGAATTGACCACATCGTGGGCAAGTTGTTTATGATTGCCTTGAAGAAGGGAGCTTGTATCCCTTGTCAAATTATTATGATCTCTCCATTTATTGTCAATTAGTTTTGGGTTGAATACTCTAACATGAGAGCTGGATCCTAGATTGTCTGTGTGCTAGCCTTTTACACATTCAAACTTTTTGGTATATATTCTTGTTTGTTTGTGTTATTCTCATGTGAAACCTGAGTGCCACGTGAGGGTGAGTGTAAAGATGAATTGCATGCTTTAACAGCTTTAACTAAAGACAATGTTCCAGAGAGTTGAATGTGTTTAAGTGCCAGCCTCAACCAATGTAGGTCATTACCTGAAGATTTTATTTATCCGAGAAATTGGATGCCCTTTCTTTCTCTCTCATCAATTCAAATTTGTGCAATTCAGAATATATTTGAAAATTGAAGGTCTATGATAGTCCAGATTATGGGACTACAAAGATCTTGAATGACCCTGAACCGAGGAGAAATGGCGTTAGATATAGAATCTCAATTATTTTCAAGCTCAGTAATCTGTATACTATTATTTCTGTTTGCTTCAGAAGTCTCGATAATATTTCTGTCATAATTGTATCTTATGAATAGAGATTGTTAACCTTTAAACTTTTATGAACATGCACTAATGCGGTGAAGTTTTTCTTCTAGCTTCTCAGCAGGTTTCCTCGTGAGTTCTTGACTGTCAATACAATTATTTTGTGGGCTTTTTTGTTTGTTTGTGTGTGTGTATTTTTTTTTTTTTTTTTTTTGGGGGGGGGGGGGGGGGGGGGGTTACTCCCTCCCCCCATATGGGGGTATGGATTTTGTGGCCATCTGTGCTTATATGATAAGGCAATATGTCCACTTCTTTAAGTCAGGCAAGGGCTCAGGTGAACATCATAATTTTGATTCTTATGTATTTGTTTGGGCTTAATTAGTATGGTACTCGTAAATTCTCTTGTGCTTCTTGTCATACATTGTCGTCTATCCAGCAGTATCTCATCATATTACATTCTCTTGTGAGAGACTGGTGCACAGCTTTTAAGTAACTGGGGAATTTGGAGCTTCCTCTCTTATTAGCTTCCTTATGTTTGTTTTTGGCGTACTGCCTGTTACATAGTGCATTCAAATGAAAGTTTAACATTATAGGAAATTTGAGAGCTCAATTGTGCTAACACCATCTAATTTTGGTTTTTCGTTTTCAGGCCTGGCCAATCTTTCTGTTACAGGTTAGTGTTGATCCTATGAATTTAATGTGGTCAAGAACTTGATTAGATTCTTTGCTTCTGTTCATTTACGAATATAGTTTATTAACTTGAAAGTAATTCTCTTTGTCTTGTGCTTTTGCATATAATATGCTTTGCACAAAGTTGTAGTACTCATGAATAAAACGAAGCTCAATTCAATGCTAAATGACCTCCTTCCTCGTTAGGTTCTTTTTTTGGCCTCGTTCTTGTTTTCCCCTCTTCCTATCTATGTAAAGATTTCTTTAATGCATAGCATCTCAAATATGAAAAATTCAGAAGCAACATAACAATGAAGCCGACGTATAGCAGCAGTGATATTTTCCCATGATTTTGTGGTTGGAATTCATAAGCTAGCTTTTTATTATTTGTAAATTTTAGTTTGAAATCTGTCTTATGAAAAAGATGTGGGCTGGTGGAAGTTTTGCAATTAGGATCATCTAGTTCGTATTTGGTGGGATTTCTTCAGTTCTGTCACCAGAAGCCCCCCTTTCCCCAACCACCATTTTTGGGAAGTTACCATACAATTGTATCTTCTTGTGTTGCTCTCCGAGGTGTGTGTGCGCATTTCTCATATCAAATTTTTGATCAACTGCATGCTTAATGATGTTTTTTGGCATGAAACAGACTGTGGAAAAGATGATCCGGATCTTAAGGAGGAGATGGAAAAGCAATTTGTAGACCTATTGTCCGAGGAACTAAAGTTGCAAGAAACGGTTGGTGAAGAGCACATCCACCATATGAACATCACCTTTGGAGAAGCAAGAAGGCTAGCTTCCCAGTACCAAAAGGAAGCTGAGAAATGCAATGCTGCCACAGAAATTTGTGAGGCTGCCAGAGAGCGTGCAGAGGCATTGTTGCTTAAGGAAAGGAAGATAACCTCATTGTGGGAGCAAAGAGCCCGCCAAGTGGGTTGGCAAGGGGAATAGATGGTACAAGTAAATGCCTGTTTCTTTACAATGTTCTTGTGAATTAATCTAGGTGCGGAATTTATAAAATATCGGGCAAACAAATTTTGTCGAGCTATTACCCTCTCTCTCTCTCTCTCTCTCTCTCTCTCTCTCTCTCTCTGTGGCTTTCCCATGGCTAGAATCAAATGGTTCTATACATGCATATGTATCACTTGACTGATCAAAAAAAATATGTTTCACTCGGATTTGTCACTTTTTTTCATATATGATCTTATATATAGTTTCAGCTTCTTGTAATTATCTACCATCTGACGTATCTAATTCTTGTTGATAGTTTGTACTCTACATTTTCAAAGTGGGATAAACCAGATTGTGAGCTATGTTAACCCAAATACACTTGGTTGCATCATATCGACATTTTGTGCAAAATTTGTTCACTGAAAAATCTCTGGTTGAATTCTTCCAAATATGATTGAACTTGCTGGTCAATTGTTTGAAATGTTGTTGATCAATTAATGTTAAGGAAAAGATAAAACTCTGGAGTTGTATGTGAACTATTCTGGGTAGTATGATAAGCTTCCCCTCATATAGATGTCATTTTATGTACAACCATAATCTAGCCAACAACTAATGTCTACGGGTTTGTGTTAAAAATACATCACTCATACCTTAATTTTTGTTTAATTCGTGTCTAACGAGTCACGTCATATCAAATTTGTGTAATATGTGGATTGTGTATAATCAATATATAAACAAGTCGTATCATGTCGGATCTACTATTTTTATAAACGGATAGTTTAAGTAAAATCCAAACTTCTAATCTTTTGTCATATTCTTAGTGTTAATAAGTCATGAATATGACACCCCTACATACAACCAAAATTAGCTCATATAAGTTAAACTTTAGCATGTTTAATATGAATTTTAACTCAATTTCATTAGATAATCATTCAATTTCATTATATCTTTATTTTAGGTACATATAAATCTAACTTGGATCATAGTTAGATTCTATATAGGTAAATCTATAGCCAAATCTATAAAAGATTATACAATGGATTTAGATTCGAATTTGAATAAATGATAAAAAATATCAATACATATCCAATTTGTTGGGTTCAAGTTGAGAGCTTGACCGAATCAGATCAAGACCCGATCCATTGACATGATTATTTGAGATTAATCACCCCCACCCCCACTCTTTTTGGTGGTGGCAACAGTAGTTGGTGCACTTTACTACAAAAGAAACCATATAAAACCTAAAGAGTAAGCAAAGGAATATATCATACTAAGGTGATCTGTGATATGCTGGAAAGAGAAATGCATCTATCATTCAATCGGTAAAACCCGATAAAAAAAAATATATTATTACCCTAATAAAAATAAAGGGTAAAATAATAATTAATTGTTAAATTTATGGGTCAAACGTAAATTTAAAAAAATAATATATATAATAATATATAATATATATATTATATAATATATATATATATAAGTGGAAGACTTTGTCTTCCACTTTTTGGGTGTTCTACGGCCGGCGAGAAGAGAGAGTGAGAAAAAAAAAAAAAAAGAGTTTTATTTTTTTCTCTTTTCTTCCTTCTCAGATCTAGGAAAATTTAACCGTTTAATCGCTTCGGGCCAAGAACTAAAGTTGCTCTACTCAGCGAGAGCTACGCAACCACACCAAAGATCGTATTTTTCTTCGAAGGTATATCAAAGCCGATAATCTAGACCTAAAACTTAGGAAGCTAAATTTGGGCTTCCTTGGCGTTCTTGTAAGTGGTCTCACGCTACGAGAGGTAGGGTTTCCCCTATTTAGATTTAATTTCAACTTAAAATATGACATATGGAATGAGTAGATTATGAGTGTATATCACATGTTAGGTCTTGACTAGTGGGTCAAATATAGAATTTATAATTAATCTTGTGATTAATAAAATTCTATTGTGATTAACTTGGTATAAGTTAATGTTAGTAGTTTAAAGCATGTTAATTGTATGTTAGCATTACTTTATATTTTAATGGAAGATCAAGTTTAATAATTATTAACTTGTTATATGATTATTTTGGTGGACTTTGTGCTTATGTTAAACATGTTATCATGTTGCAAGTCATAACATGCTTGAGATCGTGTTAAAATGTCATTATATTGTATTCATTATGTAATAGACATTGTATTTCATTATGCATGGGTTGCACTACATTCATGGGCATTGACATGGGTGAGAGTGTATGCATGGTATGAAATCAATCACCACGTAGGTGGTTGAACGTGGACTCGGAAAAGTCGCACCAAGGTTCGGTTGAGTCGCACGAGAAATTAAATGGATAAATGTGTTGGGGACAGCACGAAGGGCTAGATTCTCCCTCGGGTGCAAGACCCGCTTACTTGGTTTATACACTTTCCGGCGGTGAAATTCCAAAAAAGTGTAACGGCGGAAACGGAGCCGCAGGTGGGATGTCCTGAAGATCCGTTGATGGTTGGTGTCCCATTGGTGTAATACCATAAATCATCTCCCCACAAAGACACAAGAAAATGAATTAATTAGCATTGAGTGTACATAACACCAATGATGGGGGCTTGGAATGCTCGGATACATACGCATGACATTGCATGTGTTATGGGAGCTCAGGATGGGGCTCGGGTTGGTATTGCTTGCGTGAGTCTCATCTCATGGCATGACATGATCTATAACATTCAATCATAATAGACATATTTAAATGAATGTATCAAATGATCGTTGCATGTGACATTCCATATTCATTTAGGTTGAGAGGTATTCTCTATAGGAGTTACCCTATTGAGCGTTAGCTCACCCTTTATGGGAACATTTTTCAGGTATCGCACAGGCTTCCACCGAAGGCGAGGCCATGGGCCCGCTTTGACGACAGAGCCGGTCTGTGGCTTTTATTTTGACATTGTAGTCCCTTGTTTATACTTACTTTTGGCCTTGTATAATTTTTGTAACAAACATTGTTTATATTTACAAAGGCATGTATATGGGACTCTTTTGGGACATTTATTCTTTTACGAATAAATGTATGTACTGATAATGATTATGGTAGTATTCGAGACTATACAATTGTGAATGGATAGATAGACCCGGTGTGGTCAATGTTGTACAGGTTGCGTTTTGAGTAGAGCTCCTTGTACAAAGGAGACTCTGTCCAAATTTTGTTAAGTTATGGATCCCAAGAAATGGGGCATAACGGTGTGGTATCAAATTACACGATATCCACCAGTATTACACAGGTCGATGGATAACCAATCGGATAATTACAGACACCCGGACTTTGGGGTGTCACAGTTTGGTATCAGAGCCTAGGTTCACGATTTACCTAGGGCTTACAGGGCATGGGTTTAAGTCATTGCTTCCAGTTTGTATTGCATGTTAAATGTATTAAATCTTTCATGCTATGTGTTATGAGATTATATGCATGATTAAATGTATATAGGAATGAGGTACTATGGTTAGAAACCATGAGTTGGGAAGGAAAAGGATGTGTAAGCCTATTGTTTGCACATTTACCGATAGGTATATATTCTACTGTTTTAACTTTGATCCCTAACTTTGAGATACTAAGTTAGTGGTCTATTGCTATCTTATGTGTGTGTAGATGGCAACAAGAGGAAGGGGACGTCGGGGTGGACGAAACAACCAACCACCACCACCGGCTTTCGATCAACAAGCCTTTATGGAGGCTATGGGCGCGATGACCGCCACCTTTTTGCAAGCCAGTTCTAATGTGGGCCAAGGAGGCTCGAACAACCTGCAGAAGTTTAGGTCCCACAACCCACCAACTTTTGTAGGAGGAGGGGATCCGATGGTAGCTGATAATTGGTTCCAACAGGTGGACAAAATTTTGGAAGCTATGGAGATTGTATCTGATGCCACGAAGATACGATTGGCCACTTTCCAGTTTGAGGGAGACGCCCATCAATGGTGGACATGGGCAAAGCCGATAGACATCGGAAGGATGACATGGGGAGAGTTTCAAGAACTCTTCATGAAGAAATATTTCCCACCAGCTGTTCGGGAAGTCAAAGCCCATGAATTTCTAAACTTGAAGCAAGGAGCGATGACGGTTATGCAGTACGTGGCCAAGTTCACAGAATTGGCACGTTTTGCGGATGACTACGTGGCCACTGATTTGGCCAAGGTACGGAGGTTTGAAAATGGCCTAAAGCTATCCATCCGCGGGAAGATTGTTGGCCACAGGTTGCACGAATTTGATGAGATGGTCGAGACAGCCATGGCTATAGAGAGAGAGGTGGAAGATGCCAAGAGGATTCGGGAGGCTGGATCAAAGGACAGGAAGAAGGAGGGACAGTCCTCCACTACTAGCTCGGGGAAGAGACAGAGGATTTCTACCCCACAGGGATCACAGGGACAGGGTCGAGGCTATCAGGGTCAAGGCCAAGGCCATGGTCAATCTTCCCAAGGCGGGAAGAATTCCAGGGGTACACAACAGGGAGGCCCACGGATATGCTACTATTGTCACCAGCCAGGACACTTGAAGAGAGAATGTCCTCAGAGGCAAGGATCACAGAGCTACGGGGCATCTCAGTCCCAATCATCAGTGGGGCATCCACAGACCTACTTCATTCCTCCCTACCCCACCAGGGGACAGGGAAATCAGTTGCAATTTCAGGGTACGGCACAGGCCCCTACCACTTCACGAGCGGGGACTCCGCAGTCAGGCCAGGGCATGGGCCGAGGCCGGGGACAGGGCTTTCAGGCCGGGACTTCAGGGACCCAGGGGCGAGTCTTCGCCATCACACCACAGACTTTACCGGCAGATCAGTCAGTAATTCAGGGTACATTTCTTCTCTCTAGATTATGGACAAAAATATTATTTGATTCTGGTGCATCACATTCTTTTATTGCTACATCATGCCTACGAGACTTGGGTATAGAGGCCGAGACTCTGGATGAGCCCATGTATGTGAGTTCACCCCTAGGAGACAGAGTTTGTATTGACAAGATATGTCGGGGTTGTGAGTTGGAGATCGAAGG